GTAATAAATTAATTCACAAAGCATTTTAATTATAAACCTGAGAGGAGTTATAGGCAGCTCAGAGCCTCTGAGACCTGCTCACAGTCAGCAGTGTGCTGCAGGTAATGGGCCTCATCATATCAGGGATTCGGAAAATTCACTGACACAGACCAGTCACCTGGCAACAACTCTCTGTGGGCACAGTAAGGAAGTTCATTCATGAAACATCATGTCAAATCCCGCCCCGTCTCTTGGCAGGAGATCTTATTGTATCTCACAAAAAGATTCTCTTAGCAGCTTTGTGAATGTCTCTTCAGAGGGATCTCTTAGCTGAGACCGTTTAGAGCCATTTGAATCAAAATCAGTCAGGTTTAATTGTCACATGTAATCATATAAGGTACAATCACAGTGAAATATAAGGAAGAGACCTCCTAGTAGAAACGTAAGCTCTTTTTGGGATAACAGCTCCTGATTTAAAAGAATTGATTGTTATGTCACCAACACTGGGCTTTGTTATGTCACTAAAAGAAGGTTTGTGTTTCTCCCAAACAAACCAAAAGGAATCGCTGTTTAGAAGCTCTAGAAAGCACGCCCACTTTGCACAGTCATTTGAGCACAGGCATGGAAACTGGCAAAGCTCCAACTACGTCGCAAATTCTTTCTTCTTTTCATCTTCCCGTTTCTGCCACCACGGCCCATGTTGAACTGCACCGTCACATCTGCGTTGGCAGCAGCGAAGAGGAAGTGTGCCTTCAGAGGAAAAGAGGGAGCGTGACAGAAATTGGGATCAAATTTAGAACAACAACCTGGACAGGTGTGCACAGAGTTTCTCTCCAGCACTAACTGTAAAGGCAACTAATGACAACTTGTTGACAGAATACCACCACACCCACAAGTCAGCTTTATTTATTTAGTCCAATATTACAAATTTACCTTTATCCTTAGACCCTGCTGACATGTTGCACAACCTTGTTCTTTACTGTATATCAGATGCCCATCAGGTTTGAGAAGCTAAACTTTACCCCTGTTTAAATTACTATGAGCCTTTATTTCTTTATAAGCCTCTCTTGGCTCAAAACCACATAAATCTTTTCATCCTCTCCAGCTCCAGTATGTAACATTTACTAGGATCTATTGGCAGAATTTGGAATATAAACACATAAATATGTTGCCATTAGTGTATAATCACCTGAAAATAATAAGAATTATGTTTTTGATACCATTGAATGAGCCTTTTATGTCTACAGTTGCTGCGGGTCACCTTCCATGGAGGCCACCATGTTAAATCATCGTGTTTCTACAGTAGCCCAGAAGGGCAGCTGTGGCTCAGGAGGTAGAGTGGGTCGTTTACTATTTAGATGGATTGTGCTCCTCCGTCTGCATGTCCAAAGCATCCTTGAGCAAGCTACTGAACTCCAAATTGTTCCCGTATGAATGTGTGGGAATGCGCTTCAGCTTGTGATAAGCAGTTGGTGCCTTGCATGGCAGCCTTGTCATCAGTGTATTAAAGTAGACCATTTAGAAACCATTAACTATATAGGGTTGTTTGCATTTTTTGCACGTTTCGCTGCCACTAGATCCTACACACTGATCCTTTAATTTTCTCAAGAGAGGAACAAATTAAATTCCCATGACAGCCGGCTTGTAATTAATTTATTTAATCTTGAAAAAACAAAAGCTTATTTCCTTTTAATACCTATAATGTTTCTCAGAGAAGTGCCATGCCAGCTATTGTTAGATGGTGTATTATAGATCAACATAATGGACAATATAAGAGTAATAACACACAACAAGCCAGTTCATATTCATTTTCTTATACTGATTGATTAATTTCAGCCATGAAAAAGTGCATAAAAGTTATCCGGACCTTGCAGGGACCTTTGAGCGCATTAAACTCTCAATCTTTTCCTGATATATTTTGTCAGTATTGCATCACATTGTCAGGAAATTAAAACACAATGATTATACACTAATGAAAACATAACTATGAATATTATATTCCATTTCTGCCAACAGATCCTCCTAAATATTAAACACTGGACCTTTAATGGTATCATTGTTGGTATGGTTGCTTATAGTTGTGGGCAGGTGACAGACAGAATACCTTTTAAAGCCCCTTTCTCACATTAAACCTGTGACATAACAGGTTCACATATTCAAGAAGAGGCAGCGGTTTCGGTCATTCACACATAACCTCCTACACAACATAACCATTCCAGAGATATTAAAGGCACAATCCTTAATCTAAATGCAATCAAGAGGGACAACCCGCCACTTAAATTCAATTGATTATATTTTGGCAGGAGTTTTAAAACACAGATGAACTAAAGTCTAAATCAGCAGGAAAACCCATGATTGTACTGAATCCAGGAAGACTGTGTTTTATTGTTCAAGAATATAACTTTAAGTAAGAGGAATGTTTCTTCCTGCTTTTAAAAGTTATACTGCCTGAATTTATTTAATGAAAAGCAAGTTTTTCTTTAGACATAAACTGAGCAAAGGACACATTTTTAATACTAAAAATCTTCTTCCATGTCCTCTTAAGGTTACATTATTCTGTTGTCTTATAGAACTTGTAAAAGTCATCTTATTGATACGTTTTTTTTGCATGTTTGGTGTTGAGGTAATCCGAAACAGAAAGCAATCAAGTTATGTAACTATTATATATATATAAAGACTGATAAGACTTTTTTTACTTACTCTTCCGTATGAGTATGTGTGGTTGTGGTTAATCATCTCAATACCAAGGTGCGAACTACAGGAAACCAGAGGGAGTTTGGATCCTCTTATTAAGACACGAGCTCCCCTAAAAAAAACATGATTTGTCTATAAAATATTGACAATGTGCTAATTTTACCATGTATTTCTATTTTTTTGTATCTTCATCACTGTGGTTCATGTTTAAAATTAGGCTACTATTGATGTATTAATCATGCATGAGGGTGATTCATCGGTGATCATTAATTCACTTCCCTCCGGTCTGTGGCAGGCAGCACAGTATCATAAACTTCACTCACTTGAACACTTTAACACTTAAGGGTTAAAGGGTATATTTGATATTCGACTCTTACATTTGATGTCTCAGTTGCACTGATTATTAAATATCAGATGTGCTGACATAAAGCAAGAAGGCTGTTGCAGCTATGAATGTTTCTTTGAGATAAGAGTCACTCTTTGAGTAGATAGTTGGCACTCTGATTTATCTTGTTACCACTCCAGAGGTCCCGACCCTCTGGTTGGGAAGGTTGGTTCATATCTGTAGGATAAATACGAAGCTACAGCCGGCATCTAAATCCAAAAGCACATTTTAGGAAATTTAAGACATATAAAATAACTCCCACATCAGAAAACAAGGACGAGCAATATCTATTGCTAATTTTATTTATAAATCTGTTATCCTGTTCCATATAAAATACTTTCTATGAGCTCTTCTCATATTTAAAGATTTGTTGAGTAACCCAAGTTTTCCTCTTATAAATTAGACAACATTACAGCGAACAACTTCCATTGCCATCTCCATGTGTCTGTTAGGTTAGTGGGTTGTTCTGTCTGTGTTTATGTGTCGATATATTGTGTTTTCATTTCTGGTGAGAATAAGCCGGGTCCCCCCCCCCAACAACCCACAATGCTGAACTCAAGTTGGCAGCAATGTGGAGAGGTGAAACTATTTCTCCTGCCAACGATGGGTATGAACAGCAAGACTACAATACCAGAGAAAGCGTTAACAGGATATTACACACTACCTCTTTTAAATTTCACTGGAATAAATGCACAAAAATACAGTACTATCAAAGGTGGTGACACATCTGTATTTGACAAAGATACAAACAGATCCTTTTTTTTGTATGATATGATATAATATGATATACAGATATGGATACATTTCTATTAATGTGTATACCACTGGATTTTTCTGGATACTGGTCCTATTTCTCAAGTGTTTTGTTCAATTAATTCCTCCAAAACCAAAACTGTGAAACTCACTCAATGTCGTGTTTTTTGGGGGGGGTTTTGCATGTGGGACTATTTGTTGGCCGGGAGCAGTAACTTCCTGGAGTCTTGGCCGGTTGCCTGGCAACCTCACAGCGACAACAGGAGAAAAGTTATGGTTTTGTCGTATTGTGCAAACACAGGGGGTACAGGCAACGACTCCGGAGACTCTATAGCTCCCTGTGTAAATATAGAAATGAATAACTGTTATTTCTTTTAACATTTTCTTTTTTATCTATCCTTTGCTGTAGGCCTAAAGTAATGTAATCAACCAAAATCTGCAGCATACATTACATCCTCTATATTTCCAGAACTTAAACAGTGGTGGTTACTACCCTCGAGTCTCCCTGTACGCTAGTTATGGATTACAACTCTCAAAGATAATTTATTTTGTGTTGACAGATTTGTTTACTTTGCTTGATGCCAGAAAGATATTTGTTCTCCTTACTTATTTTTTTTGACTCTTTTTTTAGTAAAGGTTGCTAACAGCTGTTCTAATGTTTCACCTGACTCTGTAAGAGTATTTCCCAAAGTGTCAAACTCTTCCTTTAATTCCAGTGCAACGTTTGATTCAACCCAACTTTATTAGAAACATGCATAACTAAAACCACACTCTGACATATTGTCTCCCTCAGCAATCTGTTAGTTTAGAGCTTTAAGTGGCGCAAATCACATAACAAATGTGCTATTAATCAAATTACCAGAACCAAGTCAACATGGGGCCTCGGGGGGCCTCTGAATCTGGGACCCCTGGGCCTTGTGTGTGTGTGTGTGTGTGTGTGTGTCCAGTCACACTCTACTGAAAGTATGCAGTACATGTGGTTTAACTTGTCTTGCTATCGACAGTGAAGGATTGCCTCGTAGGTGTGACACACTGCGCGCACACACATGTGGTAGTTGTGGCATCAGTGACTATCTGAGCGAGAGAGAGAGAGAGAGAGAGAGAGAGAGAGAGAGAGAGAGAGAGAGAGAGAGAGAGAGAGAGAGGGACACACACACACACAGAGAGAGAGAGAGAGAGAGAGAGAGAGAGAGAGAGAGAGAGACAGTAGTGAGCAGCAACACATTGGTGAGAACGGGGAAGCAGGCGCGCGGCCCGGGGACCCGCCGGAAGAAGCAGCAGCAGCAGCTTCAGCGCGAGCTGGACGCAGACCGACACAAACACCGGCAGCACGAGCGACACCGAGGCGGTCAGAGGGGCGGAGAGGAGGTGGAGGAGGAGGCACATGTATCGCGACTCATTCTCCCCCGCTGCCTCCATCGTGTCTCCCTCTCTGTCGTCGCTCTCCTCACCCCTCGTTCCTCTCGGACCGCCGCCGCCGCTTCCTCGTTAAGATGGCTGACCCCAGCAGCGACGGAGAGGTACCGGAGAGCGCGCGCGGCTTCGCCCGTCAGGGAGCCCTCCGCCAGAAGAATGTGCACGAGGTGAAGAACCACAAGTTCATCGCGCGCTTCTTCAAGCAGCCTACCTTCTGCAGCCACTGCACGGACTTCATCTGGTGAGTGTGTGTGTGTGTGTGTGTGTGTGAGAGAGAGAGAGGGGAAAGGACACAGGTGATTCACTTGCTGCTGCGGCTCTAATCGGCCTCCTTCCACACTGACAGTGTTCAGACACCGCAGTGTTTCATTCATTGTCATTGTCACACACAAAAAAAACCAACACACTGCGATGCGCCATTCCCCAGTTTTCCCACAATGCGACAGCACAGCCAGGCCTGTCGGAGGAAGAGGAGGAGGGGGATGCGCGTTTTCGGCCAGCCGCAGAGCAGTGGCCGCTGCTCGGCGTTTACCGCATCGACCCGACACCCATCTCTGAAACTGGAGGTCTGGTGGAGGAATGCAGCTGGAGACACACAGACACAGGGCCCCACTGTTGCTGCTGCAGCTGTGTGTGTGTGTGTGTGTGTGTGTTCATCTGTCTGTGTGTGTGTGTTCATCTGTCTGTGTGTGTGTAGGTGTCCATGTGTTATTGTATATGTGTGTGTGCATGCATCATTGTCTGTGCATCAGTTGTGAAGTCCCCAAATTTCACATCTCTGTTTTCTATCCGCAGGGGCTTTGGGAAACAGGGATTCCAGTGCCAAGGTAAGAGCAGTGGCTCATTCACAAATCCCTCTGCTGCATATGGTTGTGGGTGTGTGGACGGATGTTCACTGTCTGAAGGAGTGTTGCTATGTGTTTATGTGTGTGTGTGTGTGTTTGTTGTATTCAGGGCTGCTGGTCTGCTCACTGTTAAAGAGTGACCTGTTGGCTCTTTCTTTGACGGCGTGTTGGTGTTGGCAGGCAGGTGTCAAACTCAAAGCAGGTGCTTGCCAGCAGTGATAAATGAGAGTGAGAACACTCTGAAGAGGCTCAGGCAGAACAGACAGTGTGAGATGTAAGAGTAGAAGAGTCGGCAGAGTGGTTGAAAGCTGAGATGTCTGGTTTTGGCCATGGCGAAATGGGAGGAAGACAGACCAGGAAGTTAGATTTCTTGAGCTTTTTCTGTCCCTTAAACGCTGAGTCTGACATCTGATTGGATTTGTAAAATGGTGTGTGTGTGGGTGTGTGTGTGTGTGTGTGTGTGTGGGTGGGTGGATGGGTGGTGATGTGTGTCTGCGGGTGGGCGGCAAGTCGTGGTGGCGGGTGGGTGTCTAGACACGGACCTCTGCACAGGAATGGTTTTCATAAACAGGCCCTTGCAGCAGTATAGTGACACCCCTCACTCACATGAACGTTACCACACTGCAGCAGATACCGTCGTTCTGCTCGCAGTCTCACTTCCTCCTCTTCACTGATCCATCTCAGACACCCATCTCAATCTCATCTGGCTCCTGTCATGTGACCAGCCATTTAAGGGGGTTAACAGAGAAAATGACCACATGAGTTTCCACATTATGCTCTTGCTTAAGACTTCATTTATTTTGAAGAGTTGTGTAAAAGTTGTGTGTGTGTGTGAGGTTGTGTAATTTTTAATAGCAGTAGAAAGCTGAAGTCGTCCCCCCCCCCCCCCCCGTCGTCTCCTGAGGCTGCAGTCAACAGCTCTGGTGGTGATACAGGAAATGCATTGGGGGTAGAGAAAATTAACACTGTATATGCTGGAGCTGGTGCGCTCAGCCTCCTGGACTACAGTGAGCTTATGTGTGTGTGGTGAGTTACCCTGACCTGATAACATATATGCAGACACACTTTAGAAAGCACGGACCAATCAGAGCCTTGCACAGGTAGAGCTGCTGTCAGATTGGGTTTCGTGGTGAGTTTCCGACAGCTAACTGATAACTCAGTGATTCGGAGATGACCTCTTACTCAACTCAACTGGGTTTTAAGGGTTGTTTGTTAGTCGTGATCAAAATACCACTGTGATTTGGTGATTTGGTGATTTGCAGGTCAAAAGGGAGACATCTAAGTTAACCCTGGGCTAAATTTGACACAGAAAAAATAGGTTTTTGGTGGCTTTCAACCACATAGAGAAAGATATAGATAGATAAATAGAGCTTTAAAAAAAACTTTGGCATACTCCATAAATATAAGATATAACTTAATAGAATAGACAATAAGAAGAGAAGACTAGAATACACTTAAAATATAATACAATAGAAAATATGAACATATGATTAAATACTATATACAGTAAACAAGTGTGCAGAGAAGTTTAAAACACAATGAGGTTGATGATATGACTCGTAGATTTGCTCAGCTGTCATTGGAAAAAGAAGAAGAGCTCATTTGTTTGTATTCAGATGAACAGCATAAAAAAAGGTAGAAAAAGGAAACTGTGTGTGCAGCTGCAAGAACTGGACCAAAGACGGGGGAATACAGTACGTAAATACAGTGCACGAAGGCGTCCAGTTTAATTTTCTACTTGCGTGCACAGTCAGCGTGCTGCTGTCACAAAGTTTGGGCTGCGTGCGAATGTCCCCACCGGGCTCCGAGAGGATCCTCACACACTTTGGCAGATGAAGAAATTCATGTCACACAGACCCATGTGACAAATAAATCAATACGTCCAATTGACAGAAAGCTTTTGGATATTCAATGAATTGTTTAAGTCATTTTTTATAGCACAAATTCCAGATTTTGTTCTCAAATGCAACAATTTGCTGATTTTCTTTGCCTTTATGTTATAAAATATTATTTTTGGGTTTTGTTGCTGTTTGTCTTGGGGAAAAAAACAAGACATTTAATAAACTTACCCTTGTCTCAATCAATTAAGGAGGAAATAATCAACAATAACAAATAAGTTAAAATGTGGCTAACTTAGCACAATAAATTTGACCTAATGAATGTAGTTGAAAAGCAGGGATGTAACAATAAACCCAACTCACAATTCAGAACAGTTCCTGACATTCCTATTAAATAACCTGAGAATTAAATAGTAAGATTTATAAACAAATATGTTAATTTCAAGTTCAAGGTCTTCTGGTATTCGGTGCACAATTTATTTGAACTTGTGTTCAGGTCAATTAAATAACATATTTATTAAATATGTTACCTGAAATTATGTTTGTGTGCATATAATGTTAAGATGACTGATGTCTGTATTTTGGGGAGAAAGACCAGAACATGAACTGCTGTTTTGTTTTCATGTTTGACACACAAATATAATTAACTCTCTTAATTTACTCTACACTGTTGTTTCAACAGCTGTATTTCATATTTATGACTTGCTTCATTTTAGAGCTGAAATAATCAGTCAATTAATTGATTAGTTCATAGAAAATAAATCAAGTTTTGTGTCTTTGGGCTTTTCCTGCTGCCTTGATGTGAGTTTTTGTCTGTTGTAATCACTGTAAACTAAGAATCTTTTGAGTTTTGGATTATTGATCAGACAAATCAAGACATTCAAAGAAAGCACAGTTTGCTTATTAAACAACTAATTGATAAAATAATGAACAGATTAACCAGTAATGACAATAACACTTTACTTTACATTGCAATAAGACTTTGACCTGCAAATCACTAAATCAGATGCCACTGGTGTAATGCATCATCAATCAAATTGGATTTTATTTTCCTTAATTTGACCTACAGTAATATGAGAGTCAGCAGAGACATTAGTAAAGTAAACAATCTTTCCACTGGGTCCATTAGTCGGTCTGCTCTTTAGGCGTCATTTAAGCAGCATTTGATGACTATATTTCATCTTCTAGTCAGCAGCTGTTTACAAATCGGGTGCCACCCTATTATTCTTACCTCCTCCACTCCGCTCTGTCCATCGGTACCAACCATGTCGTGCTAGCGTTTTGGGAAGAGGACTCAAAAAACGCTCCTAATTTAGCCGATGGAAAAACTGGCATTGCCATTTTCTTAAAGGGATCCCTTGACCTCTGACCTCAAGATATCTGAATGATGAAGGGTTCTATGGAAACCCACGCATGTTGTATAAATGTGTTATCTTCTCCTAGTGTGTTTGAGTATTTCTGCAGACTTGGCTCCATAAACAGTGTTGTAATAGAATAAACTGGGAATGACTGGAAAGCTGAGACACTTCATGATGCCCCTGCATTAGTCAGTGCCTCACTTGTGCCCTCCACCCCCCAAAAAAAAAAAAAAAAAGCTTCAATTTTCAACCAAATTTAACCTGGTTTTAAACCTCAAGAGTGAAAAACAGTTTGTGAGTCATATTAGTTTAAATGACTAATATGCAGTTTGTGGATTTTTTATATTATTTTACCTGACGTGAGAGACAAGTGAGAGCTCTGTAAACAAGAAACAGCGAGGGCTGTGTGGCGTTACGAGGAGAACTAGAGGAACTAGAAGGGTGTAGGTGCCGTTCAGTAGGAATGGGAGGTGCTCAAACATACATGCAAGTCGTCAACAATCTTCTTGGTTAGACGGAATGTCAGATATCTGGAGAAAGACCTGTTCTGACATGTAGGGCAGATTATTCTGTATGTGTGTTTGTATGACAAAGGTGCTGTCTGGGCATTTGTGGGTGTGTTTGAATACCTGTTCTGCAGGTAAAAGATTCTCTTCTTTCTTTCCTGCCTTCAGATTTTTCTTTTATTGGCTGTCATTTGTGTGTGTGTGTGTGTGTGTGTGTGTGTGTGTGTGTGCTGACGGCAGAAAGAGGAAGTTACCCTCATGTAATTTCCTGCTAAAGAAAGATCCAGATGTCTGATCAGAGTTTGGACTGAGTGTTTATAAAGTCCATTTTCTTTTTCTGTTATCATATCTGAGTTACGGGAAAGTTTCACAAGAGGGTTTCTAATTTTGAAAAGCAGAAACCACTTTTCCAGTTTGGAAAAGTGTATACTTTTGCAGTGTGTGAAGAAGAGCTCAGATCCTTTTAATTTAATTTAACTTTAAGTGCAAATACAGACATACTTCATTACAGGTATTGCAGGCTTGTTTAAACGGTGCTTCAGTGAAAGTATAGATGTATTATCAGCTAAATGCACTTAAAGTATTAAGATAGAAGCACAGAAAAACAGCCTCTGTGACTGATAGTTCAGGGCCCCTCCAAAGAGTCACTAGATAAATCTGAGGGGTCATGAGATGATTAATGGGGAGGGAAGAAACGTAAAGTTCTGCTACATAAATTTAGAGTTATTTTTCTCTAACCTTTTGCCTTTTTGTGAAGCATTGGAGAGTTATGTCTCTTTAGGCCTCAAAGTTATTTAAATGAAACCATGTGAGAAGTTTCAGGGCAGAAAATGTAACAGCAACGGTTCAAAAAGCCTCGGGAGGCACAGGTTTAATATTTAACAATGTGTCATATTTTAAAATCTTATCTTTATATTTTTATGTGAAATATTGAAATGAAAAGTAATTAATGCAAAAGACAAGGACCCTAAAACCAAAGCAGCTAAATGGAATTCAGCCATCTTCATGTTAAAATGTCCCCGAAGCACAAGTGGTACGCGTACACCCTCTGACAATGAAACTGGCGTCACTAGTTGACCGTCACGTACTCGTGGACGTGGAAAGTATAATACCTGCTTTACAGTATTGCTGGTGCACAGAGGTGCTTTGAGCTAAATGCTAACATCGGCATGTTAACAATGATAATACTAACATGCTGGCGTTATGTATAACGTTTAGCAATAATCAACACTTACACACACATACACAATACCTTCAGAAACGATGCACATATGCATATA